AATTCCATAATGAGGCCACACAAATTCCATACCTTGGGTCTCAGACTTGCCCATTTAAAATACTGACGATTAAAGTAAAGAAAAATTATCAAACCCATATACATGTACATGTAGATGCTCATATTGATATTATTACAAAATGTATTTGAAGAAAGTCCATATGTTTCTAGATGTTCAAGTTTTTATTGAAATATCCTTAACCATATATGAGCGTTACTGTAGCTTAAAATTTTTGCATTGATGTATCATCATTACGTAATTATAAAATGCGTAATAGCTTATACATTTCTACACAGTACAGTGCATTGGAAGCATCAGAATATCTGTTTTGACTTTTGCCAATGATAAATTGTTTTTGAACCATTTGTGTTGTCTTGTGTGGATGGGCTTGGGGATAGGACACTATGTTTGTAGAGAGCTTAACTTCAGAATGGGTTTGCAGAAAAGGCTGGCTTAAGCTAGCCCAGGCATCAGGGTATACGGAAAAGGTGGGCTGGGGCCTCATACTGGGCTACCTTGCAGTGCTACCCTTTCCCGAGCCCCAAAGGGTGTGCATGGTGGTCTCTAGCAAATTCACTTGTCTTGACAGTTGTGGGTTGGGTCTGTTTCTGTGTAGTTGGATGGGGGTAACTACAAATTGAAAATTCAGTTTGAAATGTTGAAAAGCCTGGTATGGTGGCATTGGGGTTGGGGTCTATCACATTCAAAGAATTTAATCCATTACTTTCGTGCAAATTTCTGAGAACCAAATGATGAATCTATGTGATCTATATGTTCTTCCAGTGACCTTCAAGTGATTTGAAGTTACTTGTGGTAGATAGTATTAATGTTACACATCACACATTACACGTTACATGTATATTATCATCATACAAATGTATGCTGTTCCTTCAATGAACATTTATCATATAGGCGGCTGACGTTGACCAATCAGAAGGCTCCATTCCACCTTCCTTATGGCGCTGTAATGTCACAAATAGAGTCAAAACCGGGTCATTATTCATCCCAATCAATAACCAACAACCCAATAATCACCTGCATATAGAGCTGTGTACCGGTACGCAGTACCGATACTGTACCGGTAAAATTGATTAGGTACAGGTCCAAAATACCTAATCCCTCAGTACCGGTACTGTACCTAAACAATTTCACACCAATTTTATGCCTATTTGTGACCTCAAATGTGTAAATAGCTGGTTAACAATGGGTCCCTGTGTAAGGACAGTGTGTTCATGAAAACAAAAACATATATATAGCCTATATTTTATCTGAGCATTCGCCATAAACAAAGAATAAACCTTAACTATCAAGTTTATTTATGTTTTTTTTTGTTATTGAAGGAGTTCAGAAGAGCATATAAATTGGTCGAATTGTTCAGGTACAGGTTCAGGTCCGGACCTGTACCTAAACCTGTGTACCTGTACCTGTACCTGTACCTAAAATTTGTTTAGGTACACAGCTCTACCTGCATATGACCTCAGGTGACCCAAATAGAACAAGGCTCTGTTCTAAAAAATCCAAAAATAACTTGAGGAACCTCAGGTGACTCCCATAAGAACATCCTGCTCATGACCCTGTCTCAATGTTCCTGGTGAACTCGAACAGGTAAAACGATCACACTGTAAGGGCATACAATGGACAACACGATGTCAGAATTTTTCCTTGAAGAACTGACTGACGTCTATTTAGACTCAATATGCGGGTCTCTGGAATAGGGGAAAGATGCACAGGAACAGCGGCTAGCGAGCGGGAACATAGGGGAGTGACTATAACGGTTTGTTACATAATTTACTTTGTATGTGTTATACAGGAATGTGTCACTCTTTACTGTTTCAGTTTTGATAGGCTATATAATACATTGTAGCATTAATGGCCCGAGCTTTCTCGGTGAATATGGTGTGATATTGATGCGCTCACTCAGTGGCTTTATTGGGTGGTCATAGCAACTGACAAGGCTTTATCACACCATATTCACCTCGGGGCATTAGAGAAGCCTTTGTGTTGGACTAAAGGGTATAAGTAATGGTGACTGTGAAGGATGTTCCTAGTTAACTGATTGGTTTGTAAGATCTGAACCTAGCAGCGCATGGTTTAATCAGGAAATTTAATTTTCACTACAATCCAATAACAGTGCACCCCAGGGCTGAGTCATCAGGAGTCCCCGAATAAATCACAGTTCATCTGTCAATTTCCAAAATGAGCTGTTTGTCCTACACTGAGATGTCATGCTACATGTATCACTAGTTATTAAATTTGTTTACTCAAAACATCCTCAACAATTGTATTTGAGCGAGAGCTCAAATCATTTACCGGTAATTTTAGATGCACGAAGATAGCTATGAATCCTGGCCTCACGCGTGACTCAGAGGTCAACTTCTGCTGCATGTACTTCACAAGTCACGTTAGGGGTGTGGCTCCCTTGGGCCCATCTGTAACAATTGTACCCTGCCTGGATTCTCATGTTTGCAACATTAAAGTTTCCTCATTGAACAGGTTCATCAGTCACGTATAAATACTAGTTAGGCCACACAGACTTAATTTTATGGTTGACATCCACGTGTGCATTGATTTTCGCCTGTTCTTCAAAAAAAAAAAACATCACGTCCTCTGAGGCTCAAAGGCTATCAAAGCTCCATGACTCAAAAACTCTGATTCCTAAATTCCACAAAAAGCATGTGCCAGCTTGTTGTATACAATGTATGTATAATGTACTGCCGCAAATTCACAATAATTATACTACATTTTTAATCCTGTGTTTTGGAACATTTTTATTTTTGCCAGATTCTTTTATTTATTTGCTCGCGCACACTTATTTGGGGGTCTTCAGAGCTATATTCATCCGTAAAATTAAGTTAGTTTGGCCTTAGTAGAATATTCTTCAATCTGTGACTTTCCAAAAGGAAACAAAACACACCTCCAAAAGGTTGGGAGCTGCCAAAGTACTACTCTGCTAGGAGGCAGGGGAGGTCAGAAGATCTACACAAGTCTCGACCTAGTCTTGTGTTCTCACGAGGTCACTCCTTGATCAAGATGAACAGTCAGTGGGTGGACGTAGAAAATTTGGAGATGCATGTTTTGTTACCTTTTCAAAAGTCACTGATTGAAGACTATTCTACTAACGAAAGTGTATTCCCAGTAGGAAAGACACACATGTACATTGTACCTATCCCCACTTTTTGGTTCCTCTCACTACCCTCAGGACTCCAGACGTGACTAGCTTCTCTTGCAGAATCCACCAGTCATCATTGCAGGGCTCAATAATATTTGATTATCCGGCAGCAGATACCTACCATCTAGTTTCATGAAGCTCCCACGACGCTCAATCCCTTATATCTACACTGTTTAGTGAAAGGGGGGATAAGGAAGCCTGGGCAAACTGAATTCAATCATGGCAACCAGGCTAAAAATCACAAAATATCTGGAAACATCTTTTCACGTGCAATGTTCAATAACATGAGAAATGGGTATGTTTGGTGAAAGTTTGGAAAAAGTGCTAAATGACTCAACAGGGAGAACTTGAATGAGTCGAAGGACAAGATGATGATGGAACAAAAGTATTACCCTTGCCAGGAGTTTAGTCATGTATTTTATATCTATGCAATACCAAGTCTTAGCTTAGCAGCTGTCACAAGGACGCTGTCCAATACCACTAAGGTGGCGGTTAACACAAGTCTTAAATTTGTGTAGCAATGTCCTGTGGGAGGGAGTTCCAGAGCTTTACTTTGGCCAGTAGGAAGGTTTTTCTGTGGGATGTTGGGATGACTTTACAGGTTCCAGAGCGTTGCTGTGTTGCGATCTTGACAGGCGGGTTTCACGGCGGTGTACGTATGGGTCCGGGAGTAAGCTGTTGAGTGGAGCTGGGGCATCCTGGTTGTACATGTGGTGCAGGAGAGTGAGGGCCCCAACCTGCCGGCGCTGTTTCAGGGGTTGGATCTGGTTTCTGTCCAACTCGGTCTGTGGGAGATTTATGATCCGTGTGACCCTCCTTTGTACGCCGTCAAGCAATTCCAGTTAAGTGTCGCTTGCTCCCATCCAGACTGTTGACGCGTATTCCATACAGGATTGCACCATGCTCCTATAGATGGTGGCTCTCTGTTAAGGGGACAAGTAAAGGGTGACCCTGTGCAGTAGTCCCAGGCGTTTTCCTGCATCTGTTGCCATTTGCTTTATGTGGTGTGTCCAAGTCAGTTCCTTTGGAATTGTGTGTTAGTGTGTGCATGTCTGCCTTTTGATGAACCGGAGGGCTTAAGAATGGCTATTAAATGGTTTCATATTTGGTGTGGTGGTTGAAAGGTTGTGACAAAAACTGGAAATTAGTAGCTTTGGGCCGCCTGGCAAGTTTGAATAAAGTCTCAAAATCTCCATGGTAGTGCGGTGGAAGTTCTGGTCTTGGTAATGTTCTGGACATGCTATGGTCACACAGGGTACATACGTGTGTTTGTACATGTAGCTTTTGTGCGAGGGAAGAAGTGACATAGGTATGATACAGGTCCTGGAACTCTTGTTTATTGCAGCAACAACTGATATCTGATCTTTAACAATTACCATTCCCTTATCCCTTCAACCTTGTTATCATTCTATTCATACTTATGTTTCTCAATAAGTAAAATTTTTAAAAATCAAATGTCGGATTCAATACACTACCATTATGTATGCAAAGCATGTAATAATATTAATTATGCTAATACATTATCCAACACCAATTTAATTTGTTGGTTCTCGGATTTTTTCAGAAGAAACATGAAGCGACAGGGAAAAAAAATAGGTCTAGGCATCCTATTATAGTCCCAAATGCTACAATTATTATAGGAGCCATGACATCAACACAAAAGGCTGGGTTAATATATATTTTTTTTAAACAATGAATTTTGAACTTTTAATAAAACCACTGCATTGATGATGGAAAAACGGTAACATTGTAGGAAGAAAAGGACTTTCTTTAACTGTTGGGGGCAAAATATGAGCATTTTTGAGTTGATTCAGAACCAGCATCTTTTTGCTTTTTTTTTTTGCAAATCAGAAAAAAATGAAGAGGCAAATCCAAGAACCAACAAATTAAATTGGTGTGGCCCAAACTTATTGTAATTATATACCTATTTGTGACCTAAAATGTGTAAATAGCTGGTCCCCCATGGATCTCAAAGGGCAGATGTTTGTGTTAGCAGACTGACAGTGTTGACTTCCCTGAAAGATCTGTTGCATACCGGTATTAGTTCTGCTCCCTCTAGATGTCACTTTGGTCAGGTTTGTGTTGCAGGATAGGAGATGATAACTTATTACATCTTAGTTTTGGCTATGTTTCGTATAAGAATTCTCCAATCAAAAAACTGTACCTAAAATTTGTTTGCAGTTGTTTTTACTTTTTGATGTTGTTTCATCTTGCCAAACCTACTAGTAAATGATTCTTTTGTTCATAGAGCACACTAGGTACTGCCTGATCCAGTGTTATTGTGTTTGTAATTGTTGTTGCAGTTCATCCCTGACAAAAACTTTCTTACTTCTGGGAAGTTGTTTCTCTGATTTCCCACATCTCCAAGGTCATCACCAACATTATTATCCTGTGTATCTATAATCTGATGTACATGTACCTGCTTGTAGTACATTACTAGTAGCCTATAGTGGTGGCATTAAAGCTGTGCCCATTTCTGCAAAGCTTCTGTCCTCACATGTGAGCGTTGGCTTGACTGACGTACAGGGTAGATCCGTGCAGGGTCAGGAGGTTGCTGGTCGGTGGCAGATCTGCAAATGTACGACATGGTCAGCTGTACAGTTAGTGTTATATTACTTATAACCTTCATGACAAGCCGAGGATAACTCCCACATGCATTGTCTTGGCACTGACAGCACAAAAAGTCCCTGTCTTCCTTTTTGAATGTAATTCATTATTGTTACAGTTGAAAATTCAATATTTGCTAACCAGCCTGATATGATGCAATTGAATTGGGTCTTTGTTGCATTCTATTTCTATTTTGCCCGCTTGGGCCACACCAATTTTAATTTGTAGTTCTCGGATTCGTTTCAATTTTTTCTGATTTGAAAAAAAATTCTGGTCCTGAATCAACTCAAAAATGCTCATATTTTTCCCCCAACAGTTAAGGAAAGTCCCTTTCTTCCTAGTTGTTACAGTTTTTCCATCTATCAATGCACTGGTTTGATAGAAAGTTCAAATTCATTATTTACCCAGCCTTTTGTGTTGACTTAATGGCTCCTATCGCGTAGCACTTGTGGCTATTGTGGAAATGCCTAGACCTTTTTATTTTTTTAGTATTTTTGGCCCTGTCTCTTCATATTTTTTTCTGAAAAAATCAGAGAACCAACAAATTAAATTGGTGTGGCCTTATCTACATGTATTTCCTACAGAAATCAGAGAAGCAAAAAATCAAATTGGTGCACGTGTGACCTGATGTATCTGACCTCTAGCTGTTGTATTAATTTTTCAGTTGGCTAGGCTTGTAACTCAATTAGGATTTAACTCAATCTTAATTTGCAAATCCTCGTTGTCACAATCTCATATTTTCAGGGTCAATTACTTGAACCTCGAAAATATTCCCATAGGATATGCTGTGATATTATTTGATGCCCAGCATGATTCATATTGAGCACCATGAAAATCGGAAGTTGCACTTTTGGGATCAGGATCCACTAACTTGTATTGTAAACTGGGTAGAAATGAAAAATTATGCAAATGTGGTGTGAAAAATAGTTTGCCTTTATGTATTAGGACAAACTAAGTAATGAATAGTCTATTTTCATCTAGACCTTCATCTATAACTACAGAGTATATGAAATTACCAAACGATATAGAGTTATTCATTACCTTCGCCAAGAAGGTTATGTTTTCAGTAGCGTTTGTCTGTTTGTCTGTCTGTCTTTCTGTATGTTTGTGAACAGCATAACTCAAGAAGCTTAATATGTATTGTCATGAAACTTGGTAGGTGGGTAGGTCTTGATGAGACCTAGAAATGATTAGATTCTGGGCCCCCTGGCGGCTTTTGTTGGTACTGCAGCAGAACTTCCGGTTTTGATATCTCGCGATCTGGACATGCTAGGGTCACGAATTTTGGTTGGTAGATAGCTCTTGAGGTGGGGAAGAAGTGACATGAGTTTGGGCCCCCTAGCAGCTTGTTCTGGAACTGCAGGAGCGTTTCTTGAAAAATCTCCGAAGGTTGATAACTCAAGAACCGGTTGACGGATTGTCATGATTTTTGGTATGTAGGTAGCTGAAGTGATACTTGACATAATCAGATGACAATTATGCAAATCAGGAGCTAATTTGCATAATTAATGAGGACATTCTATAAATCTGCTTCGTTCGATTATAGGACTTTGAAACACTTGTGACATGTAATTGAGAACTAGAAAAACATCTGAGGATATAGATTATGTAAATGAAGACCTAATTTACATAATTAATGGAAAATTGTTATAATTTCATAGTTGTAATTGCTGGGAATTTCATACTTGCCATATTTGGAAGTTAAGTGAAGGTGAACATCAATGAAGATAATTTATTCACATTATGAACTCATTTGCATAATCTATGAGGAAGTGCTAGAATAGCCTATTTTGTTAAGATAAGGCTGCCATTGGGTAGAGAATATGATCAACTGATGTAATCCATGCAAATGACGCTCTTATTTGCGAAATCAATCATTAAAATTGTATAATTCGTCAACCGCAAGGGTTAACATCATTTGGCGAAGGTATGAGATCGTGGAACTCTTGTTAATTTTGTAACGCTGGTGTACCTTTATCCGTCACGGGTACCTTTATCCGTCACTTCTAAAAACAAGACATGCATCGATGCAACATACGTTATCCCTTTAGGTATGCACACATTAGACACACGAGAGTTGAAGACAAGCTCGCGATGGACTAACACACATGCATTCGAAGTGTACGAGCTCCGCTGACTATCGTCCTTTATACGAAAGCCTAACTACGTCGTGGGAGGGAGATGCCGCGTACTTCTGCAGAGGATTAGCAGACAAATACAAAACGTATCTTCAGTTTTACAAAATGGTGAACAAGAATGCTTAATAAAATTCCTTTTGCTAACCTGCGTCTGGTCTTTTGCTGTGATTAATCGATAAAAAACGCTATGTTATTGCGACTATTTTCCGTTCTTCCAACGTAAAATGGAACGCCGCCATTTTGGTTACCCAGAAGGCTTTGGGTGGCGCTTGACTCCAGAACTTCAGACGACAAAGGTTTGTGATGACCACTTTTTTGTATTATTTTGTGATGTAACATGAAGAAGAAAGTAAAAGTTTCGTCACATTTTCCTCTAAACATATCCAGGGACACAATGGATCGCAACTATAGAAGGAATAATGCTTGTAATATTTATTATTTCTGCGATTCTGATGTGGATCGCTAGACGGCTCCATTTTGCATTTGCATTGACCTTTTCCAATCTGGGACTGTTAACGCCATACAGTATCGCCCATAACGCTTCTGTGTGTTCTAGATGCACTGTCGAATGAAAAAAAATGAAAGTGGTGATAGATTGACAGATAAAAATGAATAAATAACAACAATTAGCCACAGTTTGTTATCATCCAAGGACACTGAATTACCCTGGCGTAGTACTTGTGTTAAACAAAGCGTTACGGTTAATCATACTTCAGACGGAAGCCTAATTAGTATAGCAGAAAGAATTGATGAGCGTGTGGATAAAGGAATAAGAACAATTGAATTAATTAATTAATTGAATTAATTAATAGGTGATATGATAATCATGTGACAATTAATAAAATTAAAAGAGTTGAATTAATTAATAGGTGATTAATGGTTGAATGAATTTAATAGGTGAATGAATGAACGAATGGATGAACAGCCCACCCATTTCACTCAGAACTGACTAAAATTTCAATAAATTTTCAGAACATGGAAAGGTCAAGAAAGAAAAGAAAAACATGGGACCCCAAATTAATTGAAGAAGCTTTGGAAGACGTACGTAAGAACAACTTAACACCAACACAGGCTGCCAGGAAGCATGGCATTCCTCGTACAACCCTGGCCAGCCTTGTCTTCTACATAAAGTATCGGGTCGACAGGGGATTTCCTATCAACAAGAAGTCAATACTGTCCTTAGCATTAGCCATACACATGCGAGGCAGCAAAGAAGCTGGAGTCCCTCCCAAGGTAAATCGTAAAAAGGGATTCTCCCAGAAATGGTGGCGAGCGTTCAAAGGTCGTAACAAGTTGACCCTAAGGAAGCCTTCCCCTCTCGACCGAGGCAGGAGGGATTCTGTTGATGGGGACGTGGTGAAGCAGTTTTTCACCTTGCTGAAGTCAACGCTGAGCGACAATGGGCTGTCAGACCAGCCACACAGGGTGTATAACGTAGATGAGACAGGATTCGATCTAGACCCCCAAAGAAGAGTGTCGTAACCTTCTCTAAAATGGGTGCTTCAGCAGTGTCTGTGCGAAAAGGCACACGTGCGCACATCTCGACGATGGAGTGTGTCTCAGCGGACGGATCGGTGCTGCCCCCTTTGGTCATCTTTTCCAAGTCCTACCCCAGCTCTGCATACCGTCTCGAGGGTCCAGACAATGCTGTGTACTCCACGACACCATCCGGCTTCATCGAAGCCGAGGTGTTTGTGCAGTGGCTCAAGAAGTGTTTCTGCCGCTTCAGTTCTCCAGAGAGACCAGTACTTCTACTGATGGACCAGCACTCTTCCCACCTCACGGCCAACGCAATTGACACTGCAATCGCTAACGATGTCATACTGATGGGGCTACCACCACACACCAGCCACATCTTACAACCGCTGGATGCCCCGGGTGGACCTTTTAACCGGATGAAGAGCGGCTTCGAGAACGTCGTCAACGAAATGAGACTGGTTAGGCCAAACTTTTTCCTGACCAAATCCGTGTTCCCCAGAGTATACAGAGTGGTAAGGGAAAGAAGCTTGACAATGGCTGTTGTCAAAACCGGGTTCGCTAACACTGGTGTCTGGCCTGTTGACGGATCGAAGGTGGATAACCGCTGGCTGACCCTCAACAGCCAGGAGTCCCAGGACGGCGAGGAAGGAAGAGAAGACGACGACGAAGAAGAATCACATGCGAACCCTTTCGTAAAGGCCGGTATCGTACCTGCGTATGTGGCCGACCTCCTCACCCCCATCCAAGACACCAGTCAGTGGAGGGTGAGGAGGGTCAAACCAAGGGCCATCGTGTTTGACGAGGCGTATGTGGAGGGTTTGAGAAAGGAAGCAGACGAGAAAGAGGAACGGAAGGAGAGAGAAAAGATGAAGAAAAAAGAAGAGAGGGAAGAGAAAAAGCGTAAGAAGATTGAAGAAATGGAAAAGAAGCGAAAGGAAAGGCTAGAAAAGAAACAGCAGCGGGAAAAGAAACAGCAGCGGAAAAAGAAACAGCAGCGGCAGAGCTCGACAGAACCAACCCCAGGAACATCATCGTCGGTAAGGAATTGCATGGATATTTTTCTCTAGATTTATGGACGCTAAATATTTAACGTTATAATTAACCAGTCGCTTGTTTCTGTCACGACTTGATAGTGGCAGGAAACGTAGCTGGACTAAACCATTACCAAGTAGGATGTCTACGCTATATGTTACATATTCATCTTAAATAACTTTCTTTTAGTTAGATAATCCAACAATGAACAATAGCCAGTAGCAACTTTTTAATAGATGTGGCAACCTATAGAACCCACTATGCATCCATGTCTTAACGCCCCCCGTTCTTGAAGTGGAGACATCCAGAGATAACGGTCTATCGACGATACCACTATCAAATTAGGAGACGCCAGACGAGAATGTGAAATACAGACTACCAAATTTTTATAGTTGATATCCTATAAAAGAAAACCTGCAATTCTCTAACAAAAGATGGCACTTCATTTAATTGCATAAACACCAACTTCATTTAATTGCATAAACACCAACATCGTAGTTAGCCGTGTTGTTTCCCAGTTTTGCACTCGGGCCCCTTGAACCTTGAGAGAAGTATGACGACGACACCAATAGCCTTTGCATGGGTGAGGCAAATTAGCAACAGACTTTAACTCAAGAATCAATACATTTTACTTAGATAAGAATTAAGCATCTTTATTGTATTTATAGTTGTCACTTTTACATAGCTAGATCGAACATTGTCGTCACCGATTCTCACAAGATAGCTGCTCTGAGCTGGACCATTCCCCCCGGCCGGCATCATAGACCCGCCGTGTCAACTTTGACCCACATGCATATCAGTAACGGCGGCTGCAGGGTGGTAACCATGTGCTGGACGGCGATTCTGTAAAGTTTTCCGGATTTTTTGGTAGTAGAAACATTCATACTACTGTTACAGTAACAACGTTATGTGAACGGGGAAGTGATGGAACGCCAGAAGTAAATTTTACGTCATAACTGTTATATCAAGCCGCGGAAAAAAATCGGGCGTTGTCAACACTGTTACAATCGTTTTGCCGTGTTTTTTTTATCGTGAGACATCTTTGTATTTCGGACACACATTTACCCCACCGGGGGAAAATAACAGATGTTGTCTATAGGTAAATAATACAGAGAGAGTTATGGTGTGTATTTTCGTGACGGATAAAGGTTCATCTCTCTAGAACACGCCTGTCATAAACGCGACTCGGCCGTGTATGATTTAGTACGCGATTTTCTCAATCAGCGGGATCGGGGAGACAGTGAAACATTTTCAGCAAAAAGGACCAAGGTACTCTATGGTGTCAACATATAACAGGACAAAAAAATAATGGTTCCTATTTTTAGATATTGGCATCACATGTCTGCCGCTGAGAAAAAGTGACGGATAAAGGTACACCAGCGTTAAATCATAAAGTGTCATAACCACCTTTGCCAAGAAGGTTATGTTTTCAGGCCTGTGTGTATGCTTTCACATGTGTATGCACGTAATTGAAAGGCATCCAATGTAATTTCAGGCCTGGGTAAAACTGAAAATATTCTGAACTACATTTGTAGAGTTCCACAATCTCATACCTTCGCCAAATGATGTTAATCTTTCTGACTAACAAAGTAAAGGTTATTCCTCCTGATTATGCAAATAGGATCCTCATTTGCATTTGCATGAATTATATAAGTTGATCATATTCTCCACCAATCTTAACAAATAAAGCCATACTATCATTTCGTCATAAATTATGCAAATGAGGTCCTTATTTGAATAAGTTATGTTTAATGATGTTCACCTTCACTTAACTTTCAAATACCCCAAGTATGAAATTCTCGGCAGTTACCATTATGGAATTATAACATTTTCTCATTGATTATGCAAATTAAGTGTTAATTTACATAATCAACATCTGCCTGTGATTCTCTTGTTCTCAATTACATATGTCACAAGCTTGAATAGTCCTATGATGTAATGCAGCTGATTTATATAATTTCCTCATTAATTATGTAAATTCCATCCAGATTTGCATAATTGTCAAGCGTCACTTAAGCTACCTACATACCAAAAATCATGACGATACGTCCACCGGTTCTTGAGTTATCCTCTTTTGAATATTTTCAAAGAAATGCCCCTGCAGTTCCTGAGCAAGCCGCTAGGGAGTCCAAACCTACGCCACTTCTTCCTCAGCACAAGACCTACCTACCATCCAAATTTTGTGGCCCTAGCACGTCCAGATCACGAGATATGAAAACCGGAAGTTCAGCTGCAGTACCATAACAAGCCGCTGAGGGGCTCAAAATTTCATCAGTTCCATGTCTCATGAAGACCTATCCACCTACCAAATATCAAGACAATCCATCTTGGCCTTGAGTTATCATGATGACACATGTACACACACAGACACACAAACACCTACAAAAACATACAATGTCATGTAACCTTCTTGCCAAGTTTTTGGCGAAGGTAATCAACCTTGTTGGCAAGGTAATAAATGATAGTAAAAGTGGCTCATAATCAGATAATCATGGTCCAGTTTATGCATGTTGTCTAGAAATTTAGATCAAACTCACACAAACCTTGACTAGCAGTCGGGGACTCCTTTAGATGGACATTCTTGTTGTGGAGACCAAAGACTCTGCAAGCCTCTTGCACCAGCTGCTTTGTAGTCAGGTGAAAATCACCCACTGGGTTCTCCAACAGTATAGTGGCTGCTCTACCTCTCACTCCACACTGGAGAGAACCTGGGACACAAGGAGAGCAATATATGCAGGGAACACATGACATTATTGTACGTTATGTACGTTAGACTCAGATTTTGTCCTGACTACATGGAACCACTCATCAACATCTCCACTTTGAGTGTCTCACCTCACCATACATGTACATTTAACATGTCACACCTGGGCTGTGATAATGTCTGATATGGGTGGTCTGGTATAGCCTGGGTGCCATCCCCAGTAGTATATTCGCCAGCTCTATAACTGGGTCTGGACTTGAACACATATGTAGCGTCTGGAGTCTAAATATTCGTTCAGATTTTGAACGAGCACGCTGATTGGTCCTACTCGTCTAAGCCCTTTTTTTGGGTGTCCGAACGGCGACGTTAGCATCCGTTCGAACGTCCGAACGGCTACGTTAACATAGATCGTTATTCTTATGTTATTACATTGTATCATCAACATGTCCGACGCCGAACGCTAAAGCCCGCTTGATATAGCCGTAGTCAGTGTACTTTCCGCGATCGATCATCGACATGGCTGGCGCAGACGCCGCTCAGCTCTCGGAGCTTGATGTTGACCTCGCAAAAGTAGAACGCATCGAGAAAAGGAACACGCGCGAAGATCTGTGTTTACAAAACAACAAACATCACTTGAATAATACAGGCGCGCCATTGGCCGTCACCTCTGAGGCTCAGCCAATCAAATGAAGCCCCGCTGCTCGGGCTAGCTCATTACGTGACGTCATCACCAATCGTTTTATGTGTTCAAGTCCAGACCCAGTTATAGAGCTGGCGAATATACTACTGGGGATGGCACCCAGGCTAGGTCTGGTAACCCAACTTATCCACATTTTGTGTGCGGTGCATGCACCATTTTTGAAAATTCCAACTGACAATTTGTCATTAGAGACATCTGGCACCTGAGACTTCAAGCATATTTTGGATGGAAAAAAGTACTTTTTCTTGGGCTGGCCATGGTATGACAAAATATTAAACAAGTGTCCACAGGCGATAATTCTCCATGCAGTTTTATATCTTATATCTACAACGGTACGAATGCATAAAACCAACTGACCACAATACTCCTTCAGGAGGTAAACCTCCTTCTCAGAGAATAAAATACAACTGAGTTATTGCTTTAGTATATTATAACTTGTAACATTACATGAGTAATACAACTCGGTTCCAGCCCTCCCCATTGACAGGCATTCTGGCCTGTACTGTGATCTCACCTGGTTTCACTCCAAGCAGCTGCAGGTTGACATACTTGCAGCTGGGGTCAGGTGTCATCACGACACTGGAGACGTCTGCTGCAGATGGCTACATGTGTAGATGTGGGAAAAAGACGTTCAACAGGTAAATTTACAGAATCTGATACAGATGAAGTTACTGGTACATGTACAGTAAGACCGAGTAAATAATATGTTGTGTTTTCTGTTTCAGTCCTGAAATAATTAGGGATCAGTAGGTAGGGACTATTTCTTTCCTATATCTTTTTTTTTTATTAGACTTTGGCAATCCCTAGTGATCCAACTTGTACAGTTTAACAAAGTAACACTTGCATCAGGACACTTATTATTTTCAATGTCAATGTTGAAAACGCGATTGTACAACATTTCATCACTCAGCTGTCAAATCATGGAGCTAGACAATGGTTGATCAGCTTGAAAATTTATGTCCCTTGCAGGGGTCCACACAAAAAAGGCTAAGGTCGGCAGTTTTTTCTAGGGTCGGTTGGGAAACATCTTTTTTCCTGGGAGTAATGGCATCTTTCCAGAGAAGTAGTTGGAACTTGACTTTTTTGTATTGACCTTTAGCTGTCCACATTTTGTGACCTGGATAAAAATATATACAAGTACTACATTGTACACATACGTGTACATGAATGATAGTACATGGACATGTCACCAAGAACAAATTACAGCATTGTCTGTAGTTGGCCATGTTGATTTGATTATATGGATGACATCCTCTGGGAACCCTAAAACGGATGCGGATGGATTTTTTTTTGGAAACAGCCGAAAATTCATGCACGCGTAGATGTCATCCATTCAATGAAATCAACCTGGCCTTAATACTAAACAAATGCGCACAGTCTGTCACAATAACTCAACATGATAAGGATTGAGTCAAACAGAAGTTAACTGACTGTGTACAATAAAAACAGTTCATGTATTGTGTAAGTTACCTGTCTAGATGACACAAAGATGGTTGTACCATGAAGTGGATTCAAACCATTCAGCATCTCCGGGGTGACCAGGTCCATACCTGGAAAGCAATTAGCAGTTTAATTAACATATTATGTTTCTACAATAATTATACAGACACATAATATTTGAAAGTGCTTTTAAAAAATCTGACATTTTGCTTACAATACTGTGTTAGAGAGGATCCTGGTGTGCCACAACAATAACCATGATCATGAACTGGCATGTTCCCTCCTTTTTTTCAGGCAGAATAAAATAGCAGTGACCAGATATATCTGACCCTCAAAATTAAGGGTAAATGTACATCTGTTCAAACAACCTGAAAATATGAACCATATCCCCAAAAGGGAAGAACCTTCAACACACTTCAAACAGCCCTGATTTCCATGTCCATTCTTTTCCCTAACCCTAATCTTCAATCCAGAGGAGGGTTATGATTAGGGGTACAGTTTACGTTAGGTTTAGGGTTTAGGTTATGGTTGGATCTACAGCAGCAAGTGAAAACATAGACACAAGGATTCAGTGATTGCATTCGATACAACCCTCCTCACGTGAGAAGTACACACAATCGCAATCTTACTATCAAAAGAAACCTGAAATATCATTAAAAAAACTGAAATCATAATTATATATATCATAAAATTCAATTCTTTCTGTTACGAAGACAGCAAAACTACAAAAGCGTGCAAAGTTAGGACACACTGTCTAGCGTCGGCCATTCACGAAGGTATATTCACAAAAACACCTCACAGTGTCTATATGCCGCTTGTAACAAGGAGGGTGAATGGCTCATGAACAGTATGCTTTTCAGGATGCATTTCTTATTCAAGTATGTTCTCTACACAAATGTTTTAAAAATTCAGTCATCAAAACCTGGCCACTCTCTGACAACTATCAATAGAGTGCAATGAGTTCGAACGCATAAAAAAGCCTTCGATGTTAGGGCACCCGTTATGTATTAAGTATAGGTAGTCATCATCATCATCATTACAACAGCATATACCACATGACCAACACCAGCCTACTCTCCAAGCAGAGGTTTGGGGTCATTTTTGTTGTGTTTTTAGGCTTTTTTATCGGGGTTTCTCTTTTGCACTGAATTTTTTTTCCCCAGCTTCAATGGGCTATAAACCTAATCACTTCAACACATTTCAGTCGTTCAGCAAGGTGTGAACCAGAATAGGCACAGTCAGCAGGAGGCATGTGGCCCAATGAATGTCTTTCTGACTGGCTGGATGTGTGATAATCCACCACAGTAAAAGGGATATCCCTAAAGTAATGATAATTTGATGTTTCCCGGGGAGGAGCGCTGTCACGTTTCTTGAATAGGTTTGCCCCGCCCCAGGGCTGCCGGCAGAGGTTGGGTTTGGTGGGAAAAAATTCAGTGCAAAGAGAAACCCCGATAAAAAAAGCCCCAAAACACACTAACATACCCCCAAAACCCAAACCTCTGCTTGGAGAGTAACACCAGCCCGCTGCTTCAGCATGTGTGACTGAGACAGCTGAACTTTCTGGGACATCCTGCGCATGCCTGAGGATGAACCTGTTAGTTATAGGTAGTACAAAATACAGAATTTGATGGAATCTGATGCTAAATGTAAACAAGTCCAGACTATGAGACTTTAACAGGTACAAAATGTAAAAGGGATGTGCCAAACACCAAACACCCACCTTCTCCTTTGCGTGGTGCATAAAGCTTTATATCGGCATCCTTCAGACCAAAGATCATGGCCACCCTCTGCAGTAGTTCCCAGTAGGACAAGGAGAAGTCTCCGCTAGGATTGTCCAACAGGATGGTCCCCACCATACCTTTAGCCCCTCCTGTCGATGGAAGAAACTGACATTTACTAGTAGGCATTTTGACCTCTGGTTAGGGCCATTATTTTATTTTACTCACCTGGGCAGAACTGGGAGCTCTGGAGAAAGAGAGGGGAGTGGGGCCAGAAAGGCAATGAACCAGATCACCAGGGGATCAGCACTGGCAGAACTCATCCACATTGATCTAAGGCACCGTGGGCATATATTATTAGCTCCTTTGAGGACTTTAATGTGCTGACATTGAGTGGCGCGCACCGATCACTTCTTGCCTGTAACTCTGGACAAGAGAACGCCTAGTAGTTTCTTCTCGTTCCGAGGGTCCTTTGTTTCAGGAGATTTCGGTACTTTCTGTGATAGCTTAATATGTCTGACATAATTCATCAAAACAAACAAATTAATTAGAATATAATGTTACAATTAACAAATCAAAATACAAATGAGTTGCACTGGCTCAACTTATCTTCAAAGATAATTCAATACAAAGAATTTGAGAAGATGTTTCTCATAACATCATGCCTTATAATAGTGGTACATGATGGGGACATGAAGCATTGAACCAGGACTGGTAATTTTATCATCCAGTAAAGCAAGGACTATCTTAATGGTTATTTATTCTCTGAATGTTTCTCCATAGCAACTTGATTATATGGCAAACTGGTAATATGTTTTCTCTGATTGTGACAAACAGTGTAGTAGTACGTGGAAGAAGTTTGTTGATGAAAGGTAGGCTGTGGAATAGACTTTACATTTGTACATGTAGTTCGGTGTACCAGCAAAATTTGACCGAAAAATGAAGGAAATAGTGTTTCAGGGTGTTAACAGTACAAGCAGTTCCAGTACAAGCTGCAATGGGAACCAAACTGATGACACTTCTTGCCTAGCCCAAGAGCTATCTGCCATACAAATTTCGTGACCCTAGCACGTCCAGATATCAAAACCGGAATTTCTGCTGCAGTCGCCAGGGGGCCCAAAGAAAGCCGCCAGGGGCCCAAAATCTAATCACTTCTAGGTCTCATGAACACCTATCCACCTACCAAGTTTCATGATAATCCATCCAAAGCTTCTTGAGTTATCGTGCTAAACCACATACATACATACATACATACATACATACATACCCAATACACACACAAACAAATGCTACGAAAAGATAACTTGGCAAAGGTAAAAATCACCTTTTGGCTGCAGCCCCAGCAGTTGTACATTAAGATATCTGCAGACTGGACCATCAGAACTAGCTGAAGTTGGCATGCTGCCCTCACCCCAAACTATGGCCATATGTAGTGTGGCATCTTTCAGCTAGAGGAGAAAAACATCATAATCAAACATGATAATTATTTGTCAGAAGC